ACAAAAAAAAAAAAAAAAAAAAAAAAAAAAAAAAAAAAAAAAAGACATTTAATGAATAACTAAATTTTCAGGCTAAGCAAGAGAATATTTCCCATAATGGAAGTTCTGAGCAAGTTAAACATATATGCGATATTGTCACTTAGACTTGTATATCAAAGCAAATAGTGCAACTGCCTCCAAGCTTTATTTATAAAACAACTGGCAAAATTTGACTTGCAGCCTTAATTTTAAGATTTGCTAACTCCCGTAGGGTGGTTAAAACAATTTTGTTATGGCTACTTCGAAACTTTTTTCCTTATCATCGAAAATTATACATAAAAGAAAAAAGGTGAAGGCTGTAAGAAGACTGAATAGAATGGAAGGAGAAAACGACAGAAAATGAGGGGGTGTCATGAAGAACAAAAACAATCTCTTATTACTGTAACTGTGGAGTGGACTTGGTAGCCATGGTGGTCACAGCTAAAAAAGCAAATAATTAGGTTCTCATTGTCCCAGAGCCCGCTGAAGCATCTGCACAACTGAATTACCGGCAAGATTCTCTAAATCTTTCTCATCCACGGATGATAGAGTGTCATCATCGCCTTCCAAGAGGATCTCGTTTTCTGAGTTCTGATTTCCTAAAGGCTGGCTCTTGATGGACTGTTTTCCTTTAGCAAGGATATCTTCATCTGCAGCTGAAATGAGAAGGAAACAAAGTTGTCCATCAGTCCCAGGAAGAGAACTCTAGCAGAGGGGCAGGGGCTGAGGTGAGGGCAGGTGGCCAGAGATGGTCAATCTTTTATACACGATCTGCCACAGTTGGGATAGTGACCGGGATGGCACACATGCATTCTGACAAACTGATTCCAGAGCTACAGTAATGTTACCCTGGCACAAGCTCCCTAATCCCATTAAACCTGACAAGGACCCCACCCCACCCCAGCACTGCTCACCAAGCCATTTATTTACTTATGGTTAGGGCAGGACAGGGTTCCAAAGCAGCACTGATTTTTTTAAAATTCATTAGAAGAAAATATCAGAACTTGGTTTTGGAAACATTCATTTAGCACCACAGAATTCACTCCTCTGAATGACAATGACACTGTGAAATCGCTGGGGAGTGGCTGTGGAGGAGAACCCAGAAGTGAGAAGGGTCAGAGCTGGGTGAGATCCTTGGCCAATGAGGACAGAGGCCCAGACCCTGTAGCCCTACCTGACACTAACACAGCTGCAGCAGCTGCATTCTCTACGCACCCCCTCCTCCTCGCCCTTCCTCTCACAGCCCTGGCCCACATTTTCACACATGCTCTCCTCCGCCCCTTCAGCCCCTGTACAAATATCCGAGAGCAGGCAGTGTGGAAACTAAGTGGGAGCTCAGTGTTCCCGCCTCTGCTTGTTTAAACTAAAGGGCGAAGGCACCCGGGGGGCAAACATAACCAGAGAAGCAGGCTGAGAGGCTCCTGGGCCAGGGCCCCACACAGCCTGACCGGCTCAGACTACAGAGAGCAGCAGTCCAGACTCCCAACCTGGGTCCAGGACAGCAGGAGCAGTCAACATGGAACCAGACAGGAGAGCAGAGGTGCAACCAGAAGAGAACACAAGGACACTGGAAACTCTACCTTCAAAATCCAACAGACTGCCAGGGTACCTCTCCTTTGCTTTAAGCAGCTTTCTATTTAGGAAAAGTGGACAAGCACTATGGGTTATGATTCAGCACAGCTCATGTGTGCATACTTGCTAAACAATTCTTTTGTAATAGTGCCACATATGGGCAAGTTTAGAATCTTCACTATACTACTGACAGTATTTCCAGCTAAGGATATCCAGGAGGGAAGCACCTGATCTACTGGGGCCGCAGCTATTGATATGGAAATCAGATGGCCAGGCTTTTCGCTCCACTGCAGTTTATGCCCAGGCACAAGCCCCAAACCCCAAAAGGGATAAAGCAGCAGGTCTGCAGTAACATGACAGAAATTTATCTGTATCATTTATCCTAAATAGTTAAAGAACATGCACATAGGTTGTTTACCTAGTTAACCTGGTGGATTAAAGCTACTTTACATCTAACAGGTGTGGTTATAGATGATGTTAAAGGTAAGTCTTTCCCCCCCCTATTTATTGTGAATTCACCAAGTATATCATTTATATATAATACTGTGGCACTAAAGAAAGAATATAAACACTTTCAAATAAACAAGAAAATATAAATATAGTTCTCTATATTTGGCTTTGAATACATGCTATAGATAAAGAAAAATCTCATTTTCTTACCTACATATAGCAGAGTTAGCTGCACAGATATGAAAGTCTTGATAAAAATCTAGAAACGTTAATGTAACTAATTAAAATGGGCTTGTTTTTTTAAAAAAGCTAGAAATAAATATATCAAATAACCACTAATTTTTAGAAACATACAAGTATGTTTTCATATCATTGTTTACAATATTATACACATTATATCTATATCATTGCTAAATTTTTGGGTTACGTCTGTAGAATGAGAAACACTGTTTAGCCCAAACACGACCTTCCCCAATTACAATCAACATTACTAAAAATAACCTGGCCATCAAGTAATGCAAAAGAAAGGACCATCATCTAGATCTGTTATGTAGTAAATTATAATTGTCATTTCCCAGTTAGATTAGTGCAGGATCAGCAGGCTACATTCTCTGCACTCCCCTGACTTATATTTCTTTCTTCAAACACAACTAATAATAAGGCTAACAACTGAACAGCACTATGTGCCACAGTGTTCAAAGCTCTTTATATATTTAACTCATTTCATTCTCAGAGACCTCTTAATTTAATTCCTCATTTTCAGATAAGCAAACAGGTTCAGAGAAATTAGACATCGTGCCCAATGTAACAAGACTCTAGACGATGGGAAGCAAGATACGTACAAAAAAAGGCAGGACAGTGCCAGAGTCTGCGCTCCAGGTCCCTGGCCCTGCCAGCTCTTAGATGGAGGCAAGGAAAACAAAAAGCACCCTGCAACAGGAACATGTATGTAATTTACCAATTTGTTTAGTGATTCTTATGTATCTCGTACTGCAATTTATAAAGTTAAATAAGAATAAAAAATACTTGTTTCCAAACTGAAATCTGAGGAACATATGTCAAGCACATTTGAAACAAATGAAATACCCTGCTCATTACAGTACTGCACATCCAGTCCACTGCCGCACAGACCCTGACCCACACCAAGCTTACTTGAAAGGAAAAAGAAAAAACACACATTCTTTTGCAAACATTTACAAAAAGCTGAGAGTCCTCAGTGGCAATATGATATGGTCTAAAATAGATCTATAAAATCATATTCATTTAAAAAGCCACTAAAATATAATGTGTTATTCCTTCCAAATGGGACTTACAGAATTTAAATATGTTCTCATCACACTGACTCATATTAAAACAAGTAACTTTTGAATTAGTTCTGAAAAACATTTTAAGTAGTGTAGGTGGACGTATACATACAAAGACCCACTTTAATTTATTTATTTACTTATTTTTACAAGCTCAGATTCTGGAATTGTTCAACCTCAACTGAAAAACCTCTTGTCATAGAAAATATGCAGCTTACTGATATTTAGAATGGTTTTCCTGTAATTAACTCCCCCTTGAGGATTTTAAGTTAGCAGCAGTAAAATTACCAACAGTACACTAATACACACCACATGCGCTGGTGTTCAATTCTCAGTGGTCTAATAGCTTTCTGCTGAAGAACTTTTTTCCCCCCTCAAAATAAGAACAAAACTTTCCCAAGCTTAAAATAAAAGATAATTATCACGTTTGTACGTGCTGGGGAGAAGTACATTTTTAACTTTCACTTGCCTACTACTCAACCAATCATTTAACAAATACCAACTATTTTGGTATCTTCTGTAAGTGTATCTATACTAATGTAAAAATTTAATTGGATGAAGTTAAAAACTGATTTTGATTCAGCTTTAAAGTTCAACTCAGTTTTTGGTAATAAAATGTTACTGAACATGATCATGTTTATACTTTTTTTTGTATTCTTATTAACAGTTTGCCTTTATCTGATGTTACCTGTTATTTTGGTTTAATATTTAACAATAATCAGAGGGCATTGTTACATAAATTTGGAAAATTTTATCCAAAATGTTGTTTTTAAAACAAAGTTCAAGTTCTTTAGAACAAGCTCTGAGCATTAGGTGATTTATCTATCCAAGACAGACAAGGCAAGCAAAATTAAAATAGAAAAAAAGAAGAGGAAGGAGAAGGAGAACAACACAGGAAACTGTCTCTCTTATGATACACAAATTCCATTTCAAACATCCACTGAGCCAATTAACAGGAATCATGACTAGCCTGTATTGCAGTAAAAGAAGTTTTCACATTAATAATTAGACACTTTGTTTTGAAAACAACAACTTATATTAACAGATATAACAAAGGTACATCAAATATGTATAAAATACATATAGGCATCCACTCAGTGTGAAGTAAAGCACATAGCATTAACTACATTCGGAACAAGGACAAATAAAGAGTATTTCATAAACAACTGTTGTCCTGATCAAATTAAATACCATCTATAGTTTATGCTATTTGATTAGGGTTCCCAGTCAAGAAAATTTACTCTAGAAAAAATGATTCCCCTCCCCCCAAAAAAGCCAAGCATGTCCTAATGAGCATTAAGTGCCCCAACAGTTTTAGATACTGCAGTATCTAGTATATGTTAACCACATAAAGGAAGTAATAGTTTCTGGCATTACCAAAGGTATGAAACAGTAGCATGATTTATCATCTGCTCCCCTCCATATATGATCTGTCATCCCTAGAAAACTATACGAGTTACTTGTAGCATACCATATGCTTAAAAGATACTTTTAAAACTATGTTAAATCTTCCTCATATATACTATTTCCATTAGCAGGTACTTTCTCTACAAAATAAGAATGTCTTGAATTCAATAAAATTCTGCTTAACTGTTTCAGGACTTGAATTAAAACAAATCTTTCTACCATTTAAAACATTTTTATGTGGCTTTAATTTGAACATAAAATTCCTATTACATTTACCAATGAATTTTAGAAAAGAGCAATGCACACTGATATAAAAATCTGACAAATTCTCCATTAACCTGGGTTTTACTCCTTCATCTAGGAAGAATTACGATATCCCCTTTATTACCTCAGTTTCCTTATTTGTAAAGAATAAAGTCAGACTAGATTTTAGCTCTTGGCTTCCATCTAGATCTAAAATGCTCTCATCATAAATAACTGCCTAACTGAGCTTGTGCATTAGGATCACCTTAGAACTATGAATTTCTAATGAATTTTAAAACTATAAAATGGAAGGAAATGCCCTCAAGAATCAAATGCCCACCTCTGCTTGCTGCTGCTAATTTCCATAAAGAATAATCATAACAGGAAGAATTAATTTTAATTCAAAAATATGTCTCAGTTTCTGCAAAGTTAAGAAATCTCCCATTACAACATGACTTTTATAAATAACCACTTTGGAGGGTCTCTGCTTGAAAAATTACCTAAAGCTCTTTTCCCCAAGCAAGTTAATGTGAACTTGGGAAGGGCAATTAAATTGTCAGAATTAAAAAATTTGTTTTTAACTAGAAGGTAGCCAGAAGTAGAGTCATGGGGCTGGTATTGATCGCCCAAACAGAGAACATCACTCTTCAGGTATTTACTCTGCCACCTTTACACCAGAGGCCTTCCTTCAAATCAAATCAATCTCCAAAAAAGATGGCTCTCACTACTAAAATACATAACTAATCTCCAATGTCACTTCTATTTAGATGTCTTCCTTTGGTAATGATAATATAATTCAAGTAGTACTAAGATTATGCATTTTTAAAATGTCCTATCATAAACAAATTATAAATAAAAGTGAGAAGTCATAAAACAAAAGAGAACTCTGTACCATCCACATAAATCTCTATTTGAAATATTCAATATTGAACCATAGGTTTATCCATTTTGAAACATGATTTTAATTATATCAACTGCTCTGCTTTGCATACTTGATTCTTAGTGTTTACTTTGATGGCTTTCACTTTCAAAAAGCATTTAAAGATAGAATTTCATAGTTATCACAAAATTAAAACTGAATGCAACTATCACTTTGCTAAAACATTAAAAATCTAGCTCTTTGCCTATACAATGTATCAGCATAAATTATGCTGACTTCAAAAAAATACCACAATACAATCTATGTGCTCAGTTTCTGAACTACTATATCCTTATTACTTAAAGTAATATACACAAAATAAAATTAAGTAGGACTTGTACCATTTTTTAAAAAACTCATATTAAATATGAACTGCTTGTAAGAATACTGCAGTTATCATCTATACCTTTGGTTAATTTTTTTAAAAATATATTTCATATTTAAGTTATTACTTTTAATTGTTTAACATGTTTTAAATACTGATTATAAGATTTATATAAAATATTACTAAATAGGATAAAATTACCCAACATGCTTTTTGCTATCAACTTAAAAATATTCAATAAAAATATAAATAAATAATACTGATAGATATTAATCTTTCATTTATTCTGTAGAATAATTTGAGTGAAATTTTCTAAACAAATTTTTAAAAGTTCTAAATAATAAAGTATTACTATTTATTCTACATTATTGGAGATGCTTAGCATTAAAATGATACAAAAACATTATTTTGAAAGGTGCAGTTCAACAATAAAATTCAAATTTATTCATTAGATTCCTATAATACTTCAAAATGATTAAATTTACTATTTTTCATTCTTTTTTTTTTTGTACTGGGGATCAAACTCCAGTCCTTGAGCTGGCAAGGCAGATGGCAGAACCTAAATGTACTATTTTTGATGAGACTATATTTTAACAAATTCTGCATTAGATCTATATAATAAATTTTTAATTTGGCTACTGGTATTTCTCTCAGCATAAAAGAATTAAAAGATTTCTATCTAGGACTTTAGAAAAGTCCTCCATTTTTAGATATAGAAGGAACATTTTTCCTAAATACATTTTTATTGCCATAGGTCTCAGAACTCAAAGCTCACTGTAAAGTGACAGATTAGAAGACAGAAAAGTGGGCATTAAATTTCAATTTTCAAGTGTACATGGAAATACCCATGTGTCTTAAAAGGGTAAAATTGCAAATAAGCTGCTGTGTCACTAAACAAAAAACAAAACAAAAAAAAATTGAAAGAAAAAGAAAAAATATGTAACCCTGACATCTATAGACCACATAAAAAGTATATGAACTCTAAAACTAAAGGTGGCCTAATTAATTATACGTCCCATTTTCTGTTCTCCACCTCCTACAGTTGAAGATGTAGGGCCCTGAGACTATTATTGCTTTTAGATAACTTTGTTATTGACTATTCTCTGTATGACCATTTATTTTAAAGGACTGATGTCACATTTGGTATTATATCTGATGACATATTGTGGACATTTTCTTCAGAAATGGCTCCTTAAGGCTTAGTGCAAGAGGTTAAACTGCCTGACTGAGGCCAAATCTCAGACTGCAGATTTTTAATCTAAATTTGTAATATCCTTACATGCACTGAAATATCACCTTACCACATAAATGTATACAATTTTTATATAACTGAAAAAATAAATTCAAAAAAATTTTTAAATCCTTATTGAATGTAACTTAACGTTTGTCTTTTATACTAATATTACCATGCAACTTTAGTTGCTCAAATTAATACCCAAGAAAAGGGGAAAAAACTATTTCTTGCCTTACTGAAAAATAACCAACTTATATTTGATAAAAACAAAATGATCTGAATATGAAGAAGGGCATTTCTTCCTCAATCTTTAAATATCGGCTTTCCAAAATCATAAAATATTAAATGAAATGCTATGAGCAAAGACCATACAGTATCCATTCCAAAAAAACCTTTCAGTTTTTTGAATTTGCTTATCAGTCTGCTACCTAAACTGAATCATAGTCACATGCATCATAACAAAAAGGAGGAAATGTTTTGTTAAGCTCTGATAACAAGATGAAGCAGAATAGAAACATATGAAAATAATGCCTATTCTCTTTTTCCAGGTACCATCAATCACAATCACCTACAAATCAAGGTTCTGAAAGTATCTAGGCACTTGGACATTTATTACCATCTTTCCCACTTCATAATCTCATGCTAAAAATACCATGGTTGGGGGAAAGCTGTGTACACCTAAGAGAACCTGGAAACCCATTTGGTTTGTAAATGCTGTCTGTCTGATACTCATGGATTTAAGGCAGGCTTCCGGGATTAATTTACTCAGAGCTGAACGTGTTGCTTAAAAGGACAAATACTTTAGTCCTGTATTCTGAACAAAGGGCCTATGTTGTATATAAAATATAATAAATACGCTTGACACCATAATTTCATAGGACCCTACAGTAACTATTAAAAACATTAACTTCTCTTTCTGGGGTAACTATGAATCGTGGTGCTGGACCATTTTACAGTGCCTTATAATAATGAAGTTATGCCATTCACTGCCAAGTGCTGTACCTGCTGCTATTGGCAAGGAGTGGTTTATACACTGACCATGTTCCACGGCTGTTTTTAGTGTCGCTTCAGGATGTGTCGATCCTAGAGGGTTACGCACAAATCGACGCCGGCGCCGCAAGTCATCTTCCCAGTAGTCAAGGCGCCAGAACTCACAAGGACGACTACAATGAAACAGAGAAGCCACATATGTTAGCAATTATCAAACAGCGTGGTAGCACTGGATTTCTGCATAAAGCTCCCCTTGTTTGCTCTGCCTCCCCCCCTCCTCTTAATTCTCCCTCCATATCACACTCCCCTTTCTGCAATCTTTAACTTAGGTACGTCCTTGAAAATAACAGTATCACCTTCTAGTCTAAGGAACTCCTTTTCCTTTTCTTGGAAGGTGAAATGAGCACTAAATACATCATTTTGAAATGAATTGCTGACAGTGTGATCAGTTTCCCCACACTCTGGTGGCATGTGCTCTGATTTCAGCCTCATTTCAGCCTCAGCAGGGCACCTTTCTCTGTGGCTGCATTTATAAACCAGAATAGGGAAAAGGCTATTATAAATATGGTATAGCATTACCTATATTAATCAAAGTCTGTCCCCCTTCATTTTTCTTCCTAATTTGTGCCTTTTTGCACAAGGTCAGTAAATCATACCAGGAATTCTTGGTCCAGAAAGTGTTAACTTTAATGAATATCTCAGTTACATGGTTATGTATGTGATAATAAAATATTACTCTGTTTAGATGTGCAGGAATTTAATTAAAATAATCTTTTAAAATATTCATTACATTTAGCCCCTGAGGCTTAGAACAACACAAGAAAATGCATTTCTTTTCCATTTACTGTTTTTAAATAAACCATTCCTGTAGAGTGAAATAGCAATCTATTTTCAAGCAAATCAGATTGGATTTCTGTTTTATGTAGCCTGTTTTTACATTTAATTAAAAACTACATGCTATATGATGTGCAATAATTGCTATACAGAAAGCATACTTTTGAAAATGTATTTTGTAAAAATTCAAGTTCTGTGATATTTTTTCCAGTTACACAGATATTTTATATGGCAACATATAAATGTCAACTTTCTCTCCTGTTAACTAATCATGATCTACCATACTGGAAATTATTTTATAATGAAAATATCACTATGAAGTTTTTCAATACAAAAAAAATCTCTGGAGAAGATATTTATTCACTAAAGATACACAGCATGAAAACCTGAAAGTTTCAATAATGAAATAAAAATTCATTCAAAATAAAAACTGCAGAAATGACTAATACAAAATAAAATCTTACTTGTATTTCATGAGCTAGTAAAACTGTACCTGTCAGCTTTGACAAATTATAAATCTTGACCAAATGACAATCCAAAATATCCAAGTAAAAGTTAGCTTGATTTTGATGTTTTAAAGATGTTAGCTTTAAAATTTCAACATAGTTTTATAAATATGTATTTTATTCAATTAAACACTATCACAGGTTATAAAAGCATAGTCAGCAAACTGCACTATTCAAAGAAAAATATTCAAAACAACAGGAATTCAGGAGCTTTTTCTGTGACCTCTGAAGAGGCAATGAGCATATCACACACTGGCTTTGTTGGTTCTGGTCAGGCATGATGAGAAGAGGACATTATGTAATGAAAATGGCACCAAAAAAAGTGTAAGAATTACAGTCCTCAAAGCGAAAAAATAGAAAGCATTTTACTCTTCTACTGCTCTTCATTATTTTGCCATGTAAATTTTAACTAGAAACCAATACCAGGACATCATTTACAAACAGATAAGAATTATCTACAAAATATACACACAAGCCAAAGACAACAGTTGTTCGAGTCTGAACTCTGTGAAATCAAATTCTCCTTCAGTACACAGAGAAAGGAAGTACACAGATGGCTATGTGCAAGGCTTAGATAGTCATGGAGCATGGATAGGCACTTTGTCATCCTGCCTACCTACATTTATCTGTTAAAATTATTATCAAATATCAGCCAGGATGCAGTCGTGAATCACAGGCTGCCCCTCGTCTTCAGGGGAATGATACAATGAGGGTCTATTCATCAGTGCGGCAATCGGCACAAGTAATTAGTTCCCTAGACTGAGATCTCCTACAAAGCCTATTTCAGTCAGCACCACAAACATATGACGATGTGAAGCTAATGAAAGCTGCTAAAATTTGTTAACCTTTCGTGCCATCAATCCTTCTAATACTTTATGCTTCAGTATTATGCAAAGGTGATAAATTATTAATTTGTCATCCATCCATCCTGTGCATTGAGTCAAATTAAATGATATCATTTTTCTTGATAACAATTAAAATTATAAGAGATGTTAAGCTGCTATGATAAAATTATTACTGAATTAGGCAACAATAGATTCTACCATAATGCATGATAGTGAAGTCAAATCCAATGGCTACTGAGCACTTGTGCAGAAATTTTTATCATATAGCAGAAAAGTCACAGAAATTACAAAATCACATACAAATTAACAAGTAATTCAAATATAATATCTATAAGAATAATCACCAAAATTAAGATACACAACTATAACATTTATTTTGTAGTCTCTGACAGTAATAAAAAAAATGCTACAAATGGTGACATATTTGGCTGAAACAGACATCAATGTCTGAAAGTTGAAAGTTTTATTATACAATAAAAGTCTTTTAAAAAGTTCCACTTATGCGAACTATACTGTCTATGTATTTTCATATATAAATATTTTATCAAAAAATTTTAAAACATATTCAGGCATAGTCCAAATAAAATAATAAATATCATACATATGTCAGGATGAGAGTATGTGTAATCTCTGGACACTTATTACTTAAGGACTATCTTCTAAGTATGATCAGGTAACAGCAGTTACAGATAGTGTGCAGACAAAGCTAGGATAACTTATTTCACAGCACAGAACTAGAAAGGATTATAAAAATCACCGAGAGATATGAAGAGTTTCAAAATATTTTTTTAGTCTCCATATAAAGCACCACTCCAGGTGATAAAGAATACAAAGCCTTCGAAACACTTCTAGTCAAATGGCTAGCCATTAATCTATTATATTTTTAAAAAGGATTATTGTGCAATCTCAGATTGTGCAAGTAATACATATTCCATAAGGAAGAGTCACACTCACGTTTTTAGAAGCAACTTATTACTAGCATGCTTTAAGTCATTTACACATTAAAACATGTCTCTTTCCCCCTAATTCTGCTCCTTCCAACAACATACACTTTTAGAATACAGATGCACACTTTGTCATTTTAGGACATTATAGATGTTCTAGAATGCTAAAGTTCTGGTCATCAACTTACAGTAAGTTTTGGAAATTCACTTACAGATCTTTAGGAAAAAGAAGACACCAAACTGGCAAACTTAGCACACTGAACCACGTGTCTTCACAAAAGGCTATGAGTTACTAAAGGAGTGTATACATTTATGTAGGTATTGTGATAGAATGGCCAGGAAAATTAAAAAGCCTACAAATATTCAGAGCAGACCGCTGAACAAAAACAAGGATGGATGAGAGAAATCACTTATCCTCAGAATTTAGAAATACAGGACTCAGTCACTACATACCTATACTTGTATATATATCCACTACCCAAAAGAATCATATTAATTCTTCCCAATATCACTGTCACAAACTTTCCCTATACCCATTTCCACTAAGATCCCAAAAGTATTCAAGTTAAGGCTGTTGGCTTGGGTTGTGTAAGATCTGGAAATATTTACATTTTCCTTTAGAAGATATGATATTTTTTCTGTAAAGATGATGTGCTTGCTCCTGCTTCTTAGGACACAATATTCAAGAACAAAAGAGGCATATGTGTATTTAAATAACTGTCACAGCCAGTAATTTAGCTCAGTGGTTTCACTGCCTGCCTTGTAAGAGCAAGGACCCAAGTTCCATCGCAGGGACAAAAAAATAAATAAGTAAAGAGTTAGGTGTGGTGGCCCATGCCAGCACCTGGCAGGCTGAGGCAGGATTGCTGCAAATTCAAAGTTACACGGAGCTACACTGAAACCATGTCTAAAAGACCAAAATATAAACAAATAGTTGTAATAGCACTGAAGTTAAATGTATCAACTTTTCTAATTTTCTTTTATTTTTCCCAATTTCAAATCCTAACATTAAAATAATAGTGTAGGTTTAATGGAATTTTCTGTCATCTAGTTATCTTCCTACTTCTTAGAAGACCTATACATTTATGGAATGATATACACACAGCTATAAAACATCATCACAAGACAGGCATGGTGGAACATGCCTGGAATCCTACGTTCTAAGAGGCTGAGGAAGAAGGATTACAAGTTCAAGACTGGTCCGAAACATATCCAGAGTGTGTCTCAAAACAACCCCCCCCCCAAAAAAAAACATTAACCACAATATACATGACTGAATATATAACAATGCCACTTTAATATGCAGAATAAATATTCTCTGTTCTTTAAGAACAGAACTGAACAGAGTGCTGAAATGTTAGGAGGAAAGAGCATCAAAAGGCTGGCTGTTTATTTTCTTCCCAGACCCACTCTGTTTAGGGATTTGATCTGGCAAACCAGGAAAAATGATCCAAATGAGAATGAGATGGGAGAGGCAGATACATTAAAATGCTGAATCAGCAATGAAGGTAAGATTCATATTCTCTAACAGATTTATAGCACAACTATAAACTGATTATTAATTTTCACATGTAAATCTGGAGGATTTTAGTTTTCTTCAGAAAAACTATGGCAAGCTGATTACACAATTAGCATAGTACAAACTGACAAATATTCTCATAGAATACTAAAATATTTTCTAATAACTATCAATATTTGCCTGTACCAGCATCTAGGGATACAAGAATTAATGAGAGGTTATCCTTGATTTCATGGAGAAGAGAGTGTGAAAATTAGTAGTAATTCACACAGAACATTGCTTCTTGGCATGGCTTCTAAGCTGCACGACTCCAGAGGACACTGGTCCCAGTGGACCTGTGCACAGGCTGCGCCCTGCAGACACAGCGGTCACAGTGCACTGTCCCACACACGGTCCAAGTGGCCAGAGGAAACCCCACTGCTCCCCTCCTCCTTTGATACCTGGCCTTGTCATTTCTTCCCTAGAGCTAAATCTAAACTCAGATGCATATAGAAAACAGAACAAAGCTCTTAGGTAGCAGCTTCC